CTGCCTGTGGCAGGGGGTCAGGCTAGATGATCTGTTCAGGTGCCTCCTGACCCTAGCTACTGTGAAACTGAAACTAATTCAGATTTTACCTGCATTCTTATCTCAGTCTAGTAAGTGCATTGAACTGCATACCTAAATTCTAGTGGTAGGAGCAGTTGTGAAAAGGATGCATTGAGTACTGTGAAAATGTAATAAGGTTATTCTCTCTCACAGACTGAAAATTGAAAAAGCATTGCGTCAGCGGACAAGGATGAAAGCCTTAGAAAGAAAGAAGCAGGAGCTCTTACAAAAGAAATTCCCTCATCTGGCTGCAAAGTCTCAGAGTTAACGTCATCCTGGAGGGTTTGTGCGAGTAACCGTGACTGTAGGAATCTACACTGTTTCATGTAACCTGATATATTATACATTTTGTATAACCAGTATATACCACGGTGGAGTGCTCAAAGTGGTGTTGGTTTTTTGTTTGGTTGGTTTTTTTTACTGTGGAGCAGAGACAATAAGCCAAAAACCTCGCTCCTTAACCTAAAATTGAATCCTGATCTGGTCAGGTGACCTTCACAAAACTTTTAAAATATGTGACTCAACGCAGCTTGACTCTAAAATAAGTTTCCTAGAAACAAGTAATATATTATTTCAACATTAGTTCCTCTAAAACTGAACTGTTCCTGCTTATTCACCAGCACATGGGCAGATGACAATCAGACCGTAGTCTACAATTGCCTGTATTGTATACTTGTTTGTGTTAGCTTTTAAAAAAGATACATCTCGATTTAGTTTCTCACTCTTAACAGCATCTCTTCACATTAAAACAGAGCTCCATTCCTTTTTAAGCTACTGGCTGTACTTTGTCACTCCTGCTTAGAACCATAACCTTAAATACCACTTTCCCAGCTAAGATCTATGAAGAGAGGATTTTGCAGAAATAGTCACTGTTCTACACCAGGAATGTTTCACACTGTGTAAATTTATAGAACAAAAACATGAAATATATCAATTTAAGAAAGTTAACATTTAGGTAGTCCCAAGAATTTTGTATAAGATGAATGTAGATAGCTTTTTCCCCACTAACAAAAGGTAGCCTTTCCATGCAATTGCTAAATCATGCTTAGCTAGAACTGGTGCAGAATTCCAATATTGATACATATTGGATAGAGGTGCACTGATATATCGGATCAGCACTAGTAACAGGAAAATTAACATTATTGGCAATTGGCTTTTTTGGGCAATAATGTTACCAATAAATGCCACGTGCAAGCACATAGCTGCATCATGCATGTAGCCAGGATTGCAGCCCAGCGGCATGGAGAGCAGCATCCAGCCGGGAAGTCTGTGGGGAGGGAGGGCAGACTGAGGTGCCCACAGTGAGGGGAAGGAGTGAGGGTAGAGCTGGGGTGGTAAGGAGGGGAGGTAGGTTTGTGTGCACCCCCAGGGGGAGGCAAGGGGGCATGTGCACCCTCAGATTTGTGCACAGGGTGAGGGCAACGTGCCCGCTGTGGTGAAGAGGCTGGGCCAGGGCTGTGCTGGGTAGGTGATGGCAGCAGGCTTGGGGGCCTATGGCCACCCCAAGATTCCCTGTAGCCTCACTGTAGTCGCACCTTCCAGCAGCACTGTTGCCCACCCCACATACGAGGGGGGGGGCACATGGCCCCCTCATGCTTCCCCTAGGGGTATGCATAGTGGCGGGGAGCCATACACTCCCTCCTTCTCCCCTCCCCCCTGCCAAGCTGCTTGTGGCTCCATGCCACTCCCAGCCCAGGGGTCCTATTCACCACCCTGCCTGGGTAGCACATGCCCCTGGCCCTGCCCCACTCCCACTCCCTCCCTCACCATGGGAGTCTCAATCTGCACCCCCACCCACCAACTTGCTGCTCCTTCAAGATGCTGGACTGCATTCCTGTAAATTGGCTGTTGGTATCTACCAAGAAAATCTTTATTGGTGCACCCCTGTTGAATGCATCTACTACCCCAAAGAACCAAATTTTGTAGCACCAAACACTCTGTAATTTGAGCAGATTAAACTCATCTAGGTAATTGTAAGAACCCTAAAATCCATTACAAATAATTATGTGATTGATTATATTCAAGTTACCTTTGGACTTTTAGAGCGTGTACCTAAGAAATAAAGATTGAGGATGCAGTTTATAGCACTATCCCTCTGGAAGTAACAGTTTTGACAGCTAAGAAAGATGGCTAGATTCAGCCTTCTCTCAGTAGCTAGCAACACTGAACTGAGTGAGCTGTTCCAGACAGTGGTTGTATAAGAGAGTTCATTTCCATTTGGGCAAAACTTTTACCAAACAAAACAGTAAGAAAGCTTATTCATCATCAACTCCAGGATCATTTCATGGCATATAAGAGGTGAGAAATATGAACACCCACTCATTGAAACTTCTTGCATTTAAGTGGAGGTGGCTTAGAATTTAAAGTAGAATAACTGTGTACATAAAGACTAGCCTTCCAGGAAACAAGCAAGTATACTTAAAAGGACCACCTACAAAGCAGTCTATAAAGGGGGCAGAATCGAACTGGAATCAAGTAACTAAGAAAACACGCTGTAGCACAAAGAACAAACAACAACAACAACTCATCTAAGTAGATGAGAAATCTTAATAGAAAAGATAGGGCAAAATTCTCAAGCAAATTACTGTAGTCATACTGTGGTTTTCTTGTTTTAAGCAAAATCTGTCTGCATTGTGCCCCCCCCCCCACTATAACTAAAGATTGTAAACATTAATAACTGAAATTAAGACCTCAGTAGTCTGCATCCTAATACTTCCTACCATAAAGTCAAGGAGAAGGAACAGACATCTTAATTTTTTCCTTGTCTTTTGCCAAGATGCAAGACAAAATTTCTAATATTTAATTGATGGCAAACATACAGAAGGCTGAAATAAAGTTGTTTCTTTCCAGCTTATTAAATTGATTCTGACATTGTAAAGTTAGTCTAGTTTTTTTTTCACCATTTAAACAGTCTGCCAGAACAATTGCTGTTTTATATGTCATACTTCCAGCTGTAATCAGACACTGGATCCTACCTCATTCTGGGAGAGCTGCTAAGAGAGTGTTCTTGGCAGAGGCACTCAGTCCAAAACAATCCAAACTGATGACAAACTATGTTGCAGAAGTCATTTGTTGCGAGGGAAAGCTAAGGGGTATGTGCTGGGGAACTAAAGCAGCTCTTCACGTATAATGTACTGCCTCTTGTATTTCTTGTATGACTTAAAACAGGTTTCAAACATTTGGCCTATGGAACTGCTCTATCTGGTCTGCAGGGCACCTGGCAGGCCTGCTCTAAAATCCATGGCTTCAAAGCCTTATGAGACCTTGCTGGAGCTTGTCCCACAGATCCAGCCCATACGGAGCCCCACAGTTTGGGCATGTGAATTTGACATCCCTGATTTCGGACATTTAGGCCATTAGGTGGTCATCTGGGCTGCTTGCAGATTTTTTGAACCAAACCCCCAAACACACTTTATTTTGTATTATTTCTACCCAGCTCTGCAGCATCTGTATACATCAGGTGCTTCAGTGGGACTTTTTAGCACTTTAACTAAAGATTCAATCAGCTCTTAGGATAAAAGCACCAAAAAAGCCCCACTAAAGCACTTGATCTATGCAGATGTTGGGCGAGCCAGGTCAAAGTAATGCACTCCCTCTTCTGTGCACGTGCTGGGCTTGGTGTGGAAATGTGCTGAGTTTAAAGCGGTTGAGATTTTGTTTTGTTTTTTAATGTCTGCAAGCAGCCCTAAGTTTAAGTGCCCAAAACTTTCAAATGGACATTCAGTTGTTCAAAGAACAGATGTCTATGTTGGGTGCATCTGTACATGCACGTTACTGTGGCATTGACTAATTAGCTCCACAGTAAAGCATTGCTGTCTACAAGTGAACTGGTATTAGGGCACAGTAAATTAACTCTGCTGTAAGGTAGTACTGTCAGTGACACTACTATCTTACAGCAGAATAATTAAGTACAACAAAATACACTTGTAGGTGGTCGTGGGCTTACTGGGGCATAAGGGTGCTTAAGTGCAGGGACTGCCAGGCACAGAGCTCTGCACTTCAGCACTCTGATGCTCTAGCCAGCCCCTCTGCTACCTGGAGCCTAGGGTTGACCCCCTGGGGTGCTCTGCCCCAGCTCAAACTGCTGCTGTTCCAGGTGCACATGTAGACACTGCACCCAAGAACAGCTGACTCTAGCTTGAATCGCTCCAGAGTTTATTGCATCACAATGTCATGTGTAGATACACCCACTGTTGTCTTGTTTTCCAAGAGGGAAGTTAAAAATCAGTTTCATCATGACAAGGGTGGAGCCTAAACCCAGCATGGAGTTGGTCATGAGCTGTAGAAACACAAGCAAGCAGAAATACTTAAGACTTCAAGCAGTCAGTTCTCTGCTTAAGTTCCCAGCTTCTGAAACTGGTAATCCCTTACCTACATCAAAGGCATTCTGCAAATTAATCCTTACAACTCTGAACGAGGAAGTAGGTTGATGACGGTTACCCACAGAAATTAAGTCACTTCTACACAGCCTAAATTTTGGGCATCAACCATTTCATCGTATGGCATTCCTGTAAATTGAATGCAATGTTTTCATGACCGAGCTAGGGCTGCTGTAACATGCTAACACAGATCTGTAAATCCTAGAAACAGTTTTCAACCAATTGGTGCATAGAAGAATAATTGTGGAGAGTAACTGAAAAATCAAAGTAACAAATTCTGAAAACAGGGTCATTTGTGTTTATTTTTTAAAAGAAATTAGAGCATTTAAGGCCAACAGATCAACAAGGAAGACTACTGTGAAGGTACATGAGACATCTCATAAGTCTGATGCAAGGCATTTGCAAGATTTTTGCCTCTGAGTCAACCTGTAAAGCTATTCATAGGAAAAAAGATTTTAGAGGAAATAGACATTTATACAAAATTATAAAATGCTTGCTATAAGAATTATTGCTTTAGAAAGGATGCAAACCTCCATATTTTGGGACAGTACCACTTAGGCATTTCAAACAATAGCTAAAGGTTTGTTAAAATGGAACTTGATGCATTTAAAAAACAGTACTACAAAAGAGTCCATCCCATTCCTGAGTATGCTAAAGCTATAAAACATAAGGAGCACTGGGAAGGCAGCAGTTTCTCACAGTGAGAGGTCTAAGGGCATTTCCTTTCTACACACTGCTTTCCTCCTTCTTCATACTCTTGTTTAGAGATCCACATCTGCTGAAATGTACCCTGCAAAAAATAAATAAATAAGTTGAATCAAGGTTGCAACTAGGACATGATGTGCTGAGAGCAGGACAAATAAGCCAGGCTTTCCATTTTTTCCAAAAACCTGAATAAAGCCATGGCTGCCTCAATGCCTCTTACTACTAGGTTTGGTAAAAGGCTGGGGTTTAGAGAAGAACAGGGAAAACTACCTTATCAACACTATTTCATTTGTTTTCTAGACATTGCTAACCATCTCTGCCATATTTATATCACTGAAGTGCTAAGCCACTTGCAGGATCAGGCCCAAAGATGCAGAAAAAGAATACTTCAAGAACCCCACATCTTTTCCCTCACTTCCAAAGAGTTAAAGAAGCTAAATTCAACCACCTTCAGTTCAGGCATAGAACATTCTGTACTTTCCATGAATATCCCCTCTCCTACCCCATACAGCACTAGTCACTGCTCTGGGAGTAGCAGCTGCTACAGAAGTCATAAGCTACTTCAGTAGGAGTCTCTTTATTCACCTAATGATCCTTTCCCCAGGCTGTACTTACCAGAGAAGCCAAAATTGAACCACCAATCCATGAACTAAACCTCCGCTCCACTGTCGTGTTGTTTG